ACTCTCCAGCGCTCTGGCTGCAACGACCGGGGTGCCCCATGGATCCATCCTCGGGCCCCTGCTGTTCAAATTGTTCATCAACGACCTTCCATCCTGTATCAGCAGCCACATACTGCTTTATGCGGACGACGCTAAGATATGGCGACCTATCCGCAGGCCAAGTGATCAGGCACTTCTCCAGACAGATGTCGATGCTGCTTATTCTTGAGCCTCGAAAAATTCGCTCCCGTTTAACATCGACAAGTGCAAAGTCATGCACATTGGGCAAGGTGTGGCTAATCCGCACAATATCGGCGGTGTGCATCTTAAAGCCACATCCCAGGAACACGACCTGGGGACCATAATATCCGCCGACCTGAGCCCGAGCGTCAATGTAGCTACACTGGCGCGAAAGGCTAGCGTTCGCCTGGCCCTCCTTGGATGTACACTAGGGTCTTTCCCTAGAGAGACATTTGTCCGTCTCTATAGCACTTTAGTACGTCCGCTGCTGGAGTACAACATACTTGTCCAGCCGCCGTACCTGAAGAAGGACGAGGCCATGCTGGAAACTGCACAGCGCAGAGCCACTAAGAGAGTGGACGGGCTATCCCACTTCTCGTATGAGGAGCGTCTGGCGGCCCTTAACCTCTTCCGGTTGAAATATCGCAGGCTTCGTGGCGACCTTAGCTTATTCCGTCCTGACTAATAACAGGCACCCAAACGCAGGATTGCTGGTCCGCGCCCGTACAGATCATCTTCGAGGGCACTCACTCAAACTGAGGACTCGTAGCAGTCGCCTGCTGTGCCGAAGAAACAGTTTCAGTGTGCGTACTGCCTTCGCTTGGAACGCCCTCCCTGAAGTTGCTGTCTCAGCGCCCAATACGGAGGTCTTCAAACAGCGCCCAGACGCTTGGCTCTTACCTCGCTGGTCTTCCACGTTGCTAAGATCTGGCCATTTGCCAAGCTAACACGCGGCGCTTCTATCATTTTGCTTCTATCCAACTTTACCGAATTTACCTACACCAATCTCTTGTTCCAGGTATCCACGTTCCCACAGTCAACTCGCTGAATACTTGTGCTGAACACCACTACTGCAGTGTGATTTTCAAGGTAGCAGTGTTGTTTTCAGAAACGTCACTGAATCCACTGCAACTCTTCCTGCTGAACGCATGCTTGAGGATCTTGATTGGCTTAAAGTCTGTGTGACCAGGTTTTTACCACCAGGTTTCCCTGGCGTTACTGTCAGGAAGCTCATCAGATTGGGAAACGTTACGGTTGGTCAACCAAATCCTTGACCCCGTTTGCTTAGGGTGGTCCTCTCCACCCCAGAAGAGCGCAGGGCCTTACTGAGATTTGCCTTCAAACTCAAAGGTACCAACGTTAGTGTGCAACCAGACCTTCCGTCAGCGGATAGGTTAAAGTTAAACGAAGCCATCGGAGACCTAAAAGCCCGGCGCGCAGCTGGCAAGCAAGGTCACCGATTGATGGGTTTTCAGGTGGTCAGCCGGCGGTCCTTTTCCGCCTTGCCAGAACCTATACTAATTGCGCACGACCCAGGGCTGGTCGGGCCGAAACACTCCAAGTAGTACTTAGTAACGTGCGTAGCCTGAGGAACAAAATGTGTGAGGTGGGTCTGCTCGTAGACAAATCTCGTCTAGATATACTTGCTTTCACTGAAACGTGGCTGTCTGAGGAAATCACAGATGGCGAAGTATATCTGCCTGGCTACGCACTGTTCCGCGCTGATCGCTCCACTGGCCGTCAAGGGGTGGTGTATCTCTTTATGTGAGTTATCACATCGACGTATTGAGGACCAGCGTTTTTCAGTCTCTCGACAAATCTGTTGAGGCTCTCGCAGTCTTGATTTGCGCTTCCTCGGTTCAGGTTACGGTTGTGTTAGTGTATAGAAGCCCTATGAGCACCTCAAATGGAATCATTGACTTTATACGCACTCACTCTGCGAACAAGTGTCTGGTGCTGGGAGACTTTAACCTCCCAGATGTTTGTTGGGATGATCTATCTTGCAGTTCGACGCTGGAATCGTTCGGTACAGAACTGCTGGACTTGACGCTGCAGGTACCACTACACCAGTTCGTGGACCTCCCCACTAGGTACATGAGCAATCAGCAGCCGTCCATTTTAGATCTTGTTTTTGCTAAGTCACTTGACTTTGTAAATGACATTAAATATGACTCGCCTCTTGGCGCTAGCGATCACGTTTGCTTGTCTTTCCAGTGTGCTCTTATCAGGTCTTGCCAAGCTACTACCAGTTGGTATCCGAACATTTGGGCCGCGGACTTCCAAGCGATGCGGGATAGAGCTAGGTCATCGCCTTGTGTGATATCTGAGACCGACACTGTTCACATAGCCTGGGAAAAGCTTAAGGCTCACCTCGTCGACATTTCTGCACCTCACGTCCCACTGGTAAAAAGAAGGGAATCGAGAGCGCAGCCTCCGTGGATAGATTCCGCGGGGAAGGGCCTGCTAAAGAAGCGGTCTAGATGCTGGCGAGCTTACCGAACAGCTCCGTCAAACAGCACGTTTGACAAGTATCGGTTGGTTCGAAATGAGTGCAAGCTACATCTTAGGTTGGCCCGGCTTAGGTATGAAAAGGGCTTAGCTAATACTGCTTCGAAAAATCCCAAGAGATTCTTTGCTTACGTTAAACGACGCTGTGGTGCAAACTCGCCCATTCCACCATTGCTTCGAGGAGATGGGACCCATGCCTATAGCGACTATGACAAGGCATGCGTGCTTGGTAAGCAGTACTCAAGCGTCTTTGTCCGCGAGACAAATACGCCATGCAAAGAGTTAGTTCCAAGAGTCCCTGAGGACTGTTGTCTGGATGAAATTCCTGTAACGGAGTCCCAAGTTCTCCGGTTGCTAAAAGAGGTGAACCCAACTAAGGCTTCTGGGCCGGATTCTGTTCATCCAAAATTGTTGCACGAATTGGCAGGGGAACTCAGTGGACCTCTGACTTGTGTGTTTCAGAAGTCACTCAACAGCTGTATCTTGCCTACCGAATGGAAGGAGGCTGTTGTCTGCCCGATTCGCAAGTGCCGTGACAAAGACCTGCCGGCCAATTACAGGCCTGTAATCTTGACTAGCGTGGTCGTTAAGTCAATTGAAAAAGTAGTACGAGTTATAATGGAGAACCATTTAAAAATGTTTAACCTGTTTAGCTTCGAGCAACATGGTTTTCGTAAAAGATTTTCGTGTCAAACTAAATTGCTGGTAGCTAGTGCCATCTGGGCTGAAGCCGTAGACAGTGGACGTGCGGTGGATGTGGTGTTCATTGACTTCGCCAAGGCCTTTGACACTGTCCCCCATCAGCGACTCTCGCAGAAGTTGAGGTCGGATGGAATTTCTGGTCTCGCTCTCCAGTGGGTGTCAGCTTTTCTGGATGGACGGGAACAGTGTATTCGTGTGGGAAGCAGTCTTTCGTTTCGACAGGCTGTGCTTAGCGGCGTTCCGCAAAGCTCTGTCCTAGGTCCGCTGCTGTTCTCAGTCTACGTGAATGACTTGCCGGAGGAGCTTGAGGTACAATCGCTTTTATTTGCAGATGACCTAAAGCTCTGGAATATTGTTGATATCCCTGGAGGTCCTATGGCTCTTCAACGGGCTCTGGATAAACTCTGGGAATGGTCTGTCTTGTGGTTGCTGCCTATAAACCGGGCAAAGTGTTCAGTGCTGCGTATCGGAGCGTCTGATTCCTCCACAAGTTATGTGCTCGATGGGACTGTACTTCCTCACGTGACTCATCAGGTTGATCTAGGTGTCGTCCACTGTTCCACATTACACTCTGGAGACAACTGGAAGAAGGCGGCTAGTAAAGGGTTCCGAATGTTGTGCTTTATCCGTCGTTCTTTTGGGACCCTAACCGCTGATGTGTTTGTGAAGCTCTTCTCAGCGTTTGTGCGACCCCACCTAGAATATTGCGTCCAGGCCTGTCCACCATGCCTTGTCCGGGACAAAATGGCACTAGAAAGGGTGTTGCGTGTCGGTACTAGGTTGGTCAAGGGATTACGAGGGCAAACGTACCCCGAACGCCTACTTAGTTTGGGAATGCAGTCAATGCACTATCGAAGAATTAGAGGGGACCTAATCCTAACCTACCGTATTTTGACTGGGAAGGTTGGCCCTGATTTGTCCATGCTATTTAGTCCTGCTAGATTATCTGGTCTCCGCGGGCATTGTATGAAGCTGGACAAACCGCGGTCCGATCGAGTTAGAGCGGAGACACGCTTATCGCGTCGAGTCATCGAGCGCTGGAACCTGCTTCCAGAAAATGTTGTCAAGGAAGCTACGGTTAAGGGGTTTGAGCGTCAACTAGATGCTCTTGGGTGGCAACACGAAACCTTTCCGTTTTCCTGACAAATTCCCATCTTCATACTTCGATTCTATTTTCTTTGCTTTTCCTCGTCATTGGTATTATTCTCTTCTTTTAACTGATTTCCCCTACTCTCTTACCTTCGATTCTCCTTCCTCTTTTACTTACTTCACGTAACTGACACAGCTGGGACAGCCAATGTTAGGAACGTGGGCATTAAATTGGTGGATCAGGGGTGTTTTTCGGGTGTTTTCCTTTTAGACCCATCAAGAAGTTGGAGCACCCCTATCAACTCCTTGATCGACGGCCCGCTCAAGAAGGAACACTTACGGGATTCATCCTATCGTTCCAGTCCCACTTGAACTTGAACTACTGCGTCGAGACCCACAACATCTGGTACCTACCGACGAGATCAGGATCTTGCCGTAAGATCCCGAGGCAGAACCAACGAAAAGCTACGCTTACTCTTTCTGAGCAAACCCGTGAACTTGACTTTAGCGGATCAGCACAATGCGGCTTGTTTTCGCGCTTGTAGTTAACAATATTTTTACATACCTGGCACATTAGTTTGCATTTGTTTTATTCATTTATTGCCCCTTTTCTGCGCGCTGTACTGTGGAACGCCGGCACGGAACACTTTCGGCCCTCCTGTGAGCATTACGTTCCCCCATTCTCTCAGTTTCACGTGTAGCTTGCCCGCGGGCGTCACGGTAACACGTTAACAGGTAAGAGGTCGATGGGTTTTGTTTCCTGTTATCATTACCCTCATATTCCTCTCCGGCACTCTTCCGTGCTTCCTTAGCTGTTTCCTTTACATCGGCCTCTTACTAGGCGGCTCGAGCGTACAGCCGTCTACGAGGTATTTATTTTGCATTGCAGCTTGTCGCACTACTTGGACACGGAAGAGCTGGGAACGCCGGACCGAAGGAATATTACAAATTTGGCGAACGTGCCAGTTCACGATAGCAGTCCACCCTAGATTGCGGCCCTTGAGGCAATAATTTACTTTCTACTATCGTGCTGCTTGTCGTTAAATCTCCCGAGCCTGCTATACCGCGCTCAATGCCTCTTGCAGGTACATAAATTGATGCCAGTATGGGCTATTATGGGCGCTGAGGACAGCGCTTGCTAAGAGGGGGGATAATGTAGCCGGCCCGCGGGCGTCACGGTAACACGTTAACAGTAAGAGGTCGATGGTTTTTGCTTCCTATTATCATTACCCTCATATTCCTCTCCGGCACTCTTCCTTTCCTCTTCCGTGCTTCTTTAGCTGCTTCCTTTACATCGGCCTCTTACTAGGCGGCTCGAGCGTACAGCCGTCTACGAGGTATTTATTTTGCGTTGCAGCTTGTCACCCGGAAGAGCTCAGAACGACGGACCGAAGGAATATTATACACGCTGGTGGTTTTTCGGTGCTTGCTTACCGGGCTTGGGATAGGGAGTTAGTTGCGTACACTTCTACACATTTTAACAGAGCAGCTATTTATGTCGTTACTAAGGTTATTTGGTCATTTTTCTACTGGGTGCGTCAGATACCTTCATGGGTTGTCCTTGCGAAAGCATACATGTACGCCAGCGAATGCCAAATCCTGACTCCGGGTGCTGAAGATGCTGTACTTCATACACCTAATAAATCCCTGAGACTGCAGCGTTTTACCGCAACTCACGGTTTTGGTATTATCATGACAAGTCGTCGGCATACTTTATACGCTGCTTTTTAGTTCAGGCTTGTAAGCCTGCTACCAGCAACGCACGGCTCAGGAGGATTCTGAGAAGCGGTAGTCAGACGACATCTGAAATACTGTGTTTAGGCAGACAGTCTGCCTACAAGAGAATAGTAATTGTATTGTGAATGTGCAGTGGCTGGCATGTCGGATGGCACCTTGATATCACAATCGTAGCGAAATTGACGGAAACAGGACAACTGTCTCGTTCGTTAATAAAGGGTTAATTTTGCTTCACGGCATTTAGTTTACTTATGATAAATAATCGATATGCCAGCTCGTGTTTGGTGGCAACATCAAGTTAATACTAATGACGTTCGACGTCGCATCTTGGGGTATGCGCGTATTCCCTTCAACAAACTGGTTTTGTAGCACCACTTAAGATGGCTCGGTCTTGTTCTGCGCAAGGCACCTGAGCGTTTACCGCGTCGCGCTCTATTCGCTCGTCAAGGACCTGGCTGGAGGCGACCACGTGGTGGTCAGCCTTCCACTTGGAGGCAGCACATGGAATCGCTGACGTCGTGTCTAGCCGCTGTTGGATCCGTACGTCTTCCAGGGTTGGGACCCAAAGATGAGTACCAATGGCTTAGCACTCCTTAAGGCATAGTCTGCAACGGGAATCAGTGGAGGAACTGTGTACAGTATTGTTTAATATTACAAACATTAAGAATGACAAAAAAGAGAAAAATCGGCGTATGAAAACAAAATAAAAAATGTTTTCTACTTTTTGTCAAAATGTTCCATTCTTCCTGCGGCATATTAGCTGAGGTGTGCTGCTCACCTTCAACTACCATGCCACGATGATTATGTCGCGATGACGGTCCCTTATCCGCTGATCTCCATGGTTTTATGTTGGCTCTCTGCTGAGATTACTAATACTATCAGCTGCAGGAAGCCAAGTGGCATTTCGGCGCCCACTGTGTCTAAAAGTAGTGCTAGTAAGAAACAACTGGCGCTCCGCACACAGTTGCAGCAGACGCCCACCGTTGTCAGTTCGTTCGGAGTTAAGCCTATAATTACCACCCAGCTGAGCTTCTGCAGAGCTAAGACGCCTTACTTGTGCGTTCATATCCCCTGCAAGTACTAAAATAGCTGAACTAGTAGCACTGCGCAGTAGTGCGTTCAGTTCGTGATAGTATGTGTCCTTGACAGCATTAGAACTGCAGTCGGTGGGAGCGTAAGCGGAAATCACAAACAAACAGCGTTTTGTACTACTTCGTGAATCAACCTTAGCTGATGTCGTCAAATGGGCTGCGCATAAACGGCTGTTCACCGGAATCCAATCAACTAACCATGGCTCAGCGTTGGAGCTTAGAATGATACCTACACCAGCTTGACCCGTGAGTGCTGCATCGGCGTCTCCGGATGCGTGCAACCAATAACGAGCGGATAAGCCGGGTGCAGTTAATTCAACAACCCCATTAGGGTCATTGATCCTAGTTTCGAACACACAACACTTCAATACCCAGTGTGTCCAAGGTGCGTGCGAGGGTAGCTTGTTGACCGATTTGTCTTAGAGTGCGAACCTTGAACGTTGCAATGGAGACGGGATAGCGTGACCTTATAAAGGGCTGTTGCCAATATGCGTCCGATGGGTGTCGCGAGAAAGTGGCAGCAGGTGGTTCTACTCTAGTGGCACTTCAGTTGCTGTCAATTAAGCCGGGATTATAGGTTAGTGATGGGGTTCTGAATGGGCGTAAGAGAAACAGGTGGAAAGAAGGGATGCGCCAGCAGTAGCATTTTTTCGCTTATCCGCCCTGCTGTATGCAGCAGATAAGGCGACCCTTGATAATCTGCGCGACGGCCGAAGCAGGATGGTTTATGTTTGAAGAAAAAGCCATGGTCGGTCGGTGGCCTAGTGGTCTGCACGTTTCGTTTGCAACCATAAGGTCACCGGTTCGAATCCGCGTAGGGGTGGGCGTCCTCGCGGTATACTCAGGCCGCGCGCGACCGGTGGTAGTCGCGCGGCAGCCGTTACGTAGTACAGCTGGCACACTATTATTATTATTATTATTATTATTATTATTATTATTACATGGTTGTATGTGAGCTAAGATACTGCCAGGTCGCCCAGACGTAGATGAAAGGACGATTAGGGTCTTCATCCAAAGCCTTTGGCTCAAAAACCTGTCCGCAAGTCAGCGGGTGATGTCAATGACTTAGTTTTACGGAAATGGACGCCATCCCATTTCAAACCCCCAACCTGGAGGACCAGGAGACTGATTTTGTCTGACCTCTCACAATTGACCAACCTGGTACAATTTAACATAATATAATTTTAGCGTAATGTGTACATACCTAAGTCTCAGAACAAATGCATCTTTGCAAGGCACAGAAGGAAAGTAAATCACCACAATTGCTACCGTTCAACACGATCACAATACAAAGTACTGCACGGAATTGGCTCGCCTCTTTAAACGTATCCAACGACTATACGAGACTGGTTTGCATCACACTGCAACGAGACTGGACTTTAACTTGGTGCGACGGCTTGCGTACCTCATTGACCCATTGAGCTATACTGGGTGGTGCATCCGGGCACCTTGAGAGCTACTCCTACCAGGTTGGTCAATGGTGAGAGGTCAGACAAACTCAGTCTCCTGGTCCTCCAGGTTGGGGGTTTGAAATGGGACGGCGTCCATTTCTGTAAAACTAAATCATTGCCACCCTCCCGCTGCCTTGCGGACAGGCTTTTGAGCCAAAGCCTTTGGTTGAGGACCCTAATCGTCCTCCTGTTTTGGTATGGACGCCCTGGCAGTATCTCAGCCCACATATAACCATGGAATTTTCTTCAAACATAAACTTTATCCTGCATCGGCCGTCGCGCAGATTATCAAGGGTCGCCTTATCTGCTGCATACAGCAGGGTGGATAAGGGAAAACATACTACTGCCGGCGCCTCTCTTCTTACTTTTCCAACTTTTTCTCTTACTCCCATTCCGACCCCCATTACTAACCTTCCTTCTATAATTCCTAGCTTAATTGACAACTGAAGTGCCACTGGAGTAGAACCATCTGCAGCCACCATCCCACCGCACCTATCGGACACCTATTGACAAAAGTCCCTTATAAGGCCACGCTATCCCGTCTCCATGGCGACATTTCACCTTCGCACTCTAAAACATCGGTCAACAACCTGCACTCGTGCGCACCTTGGACACACTGGGTATTGATGTGTTGTGTGTCCGAAACTAGGATCAGTGACCCTAATGGGGTTGTTGAATTAACTGCACCCGGCTTATCCGCTCGTTATTGGTTGCGCGCATCCGGAGACGCCGATGCAGCACTCACGGGTCAAGCTGGTGTAGGTATCATTCTAAGCTCCAACGCTGAGCCATGGTTAGTTGATTGGATTCCGGTGAACAGCCGTTTATGCGCAGCCCATTTGACGACATCAGCTAAGGTTGATTCACGAAGTAGTACAAAACGCTGTTTGTTTGTGATTTCCGCTTACGCTCCCACCGACTGCAGTTCTAATGCTGTCAAGGACACATACTATCACGAACTGAACGCACTACTGCGCAGTGCTACTAGTTCAGCTATTTTAGTACTTGCAGGGGATATGAACGCACAAGTAGGGCGTCTTAGCTCTGCAGAAGCTCAGCTGGGTGGTAATTATAGGCTTAACTCCGAACGGTCTGACAACGGTGGGCGTCTGCTGCAACTGAGTGCGGAGCACCAGTTGTTTCTTACTAGCACTGCTTTTAGACACAGTGGGCGCGGAAGTGCACTTGGCGTTCTCCTGTAGCTGGCAAGCGATGGACCCAAATTGACCACATGACCTTAAGTTATAGATAGCGTGGTTCCATCTTGGATTGCCGCTCGTACTGGAGTATTTGTGTCGACTCTGATCATGCCTTGGTACGCTGTCGTTTCTCCATGAACTTTACCGGAAGGTTCACCATGCTTCCACTACGGTTGGCCACTGAGAAATTGTCTCAGTCCTCGGTCAGGCAAGCTTATCAAGAAGCACTGCATGCCGAACTTCCGCTGTCTTGTCCT